ATAGAAACCTAAAGAAATAAATCAAGAGATACATAGACCTACTTCATGACTGAGAAGGATGGGATAGGGAACATTATACGAATAAGACATTTTGCAATAGTCACTTGATAAGAACCATGTAATCTCATTTAGAATCAGTTTCCAACTCAGCAATCCAATTGCAAACATGAATCTCACAAGATGACCCTTTTGTTTCAACCCTAGTATCATGCTAAAACAGAATGTACAGGGGCTCCAGAAGGCAGAAAATGGTGAAATAATGTGATTGTGATCAGTATGACTAATCTAGATCTTGCAAAATCTGTTGCATAAGTGGCAATCACCAATGTACATGCACACCTGGAAGCTGTCTGCTACACAGACATGTATCCATTAACACACTTTCTACAAAAGATTTCTTGTACAGTTTGAAAGACAGTGATTAAAAAAACAACGATGGCGACATTTTTAGAAACTAACTGCCTTAATAATTGAACCTTTATTTTACTAATCCCTTATAAGAAAATGTTTCTTATTCTTTGCCCAAACCAACACTAGAAAAAAATGTTGGCAACACAATAGAATAGTAGTTTCCAGTGTTGAGACTTAACTTTAGTAAATCAGTTTCGGATCATGTGATCAAAGGCACTCTATTTTCTTACTAAAATTGGAGCCTCTATTCAAATTAGACATATTACTAAAATGTACTTTTAGTACAGAATCTTGCTTAGCATAAGAGTGTCATCTACCTAATCACTACATTCTGACAGTTGCCTTAACTGGATCTGAAGTGCATTTGAGCATACATTTTAACTTCCTCTACAGAGACTACTAGTAGAAATCTAACAAATAACGGTCTACATATTCTACACCATGTAAACATTTACACTGTATCCTGTTGTCTGCTCAGAAGAGTCAGATTTCACTGTATATTCTTTAATAACTTGAAACTGACTGGGCTGTACAAAGGAACCGGTGAATCTGAAAAATGTAGATATGGGAAGCTATTCAATGTATCTCCCATTGGTTTTAATAGGAATTTTCTACCTATTGCTTTCTTGGGAACACAATCAGATGCAAAGCTAGAAAAGAAGTCCAAGTATCCTCTTCTACACAATCTATTTTATAAAATAGGAAATAAAATATAAATCTTATGGCACTTAACAGATGATGAAATAATAATACTAGAGATTTACTCTTGTGTCATTCTCTCTTCTCCTCAAAAAAATCTTTTCCAAGAAGTTCCCTTCTCCAATTTTTAGCACTTTGGCTACACTTCACATTGGTGGGTTTTTTATTTGAAATAAAGCCTAATTTTGAATTTTCTACAGTGGGTAAGGTACGAGATTCTCTTTTGTGGTGAGCATTATTCCCAAGACTCAGTTGGAGCAGTTACCTTTGTGACTGCAGATAAAGAAAATAAACCCTTTTCTATAAGAGAGCTTGACAAGCACTGAATTTCTACATAAAGCTTGCTGTAGGGTGACCCACATTACAGCAATATTGGAGAAAGACATTTTTGTGGTGGTATTTACTATAAAAATTATACCTTTGAAGGTAGGCCTTATAAGCAATTGAGGGCAGTTTAGGTACATTTAAATAGTATTTGACCACTGTACATAGCCCACATGATAGTGGATTGCACCAGAAGTCCCAGATCTTGTGAGCACATGCACAGAGCACCCAAAATAGCCAAGCTGATATAAGGGACAGTGTAGTAAATTTTCTTATTTCCTGCTATTCGAATCTGCAGAGTAGGGGAGCTTCTAATAGTCAACTAACCAATAGTAAAGTATATTTATACATGCGCCAAGTCCTTTTCCTACTTAAAAGTCATGAGAGTTTAGATGTGAATTTCAAGAGCAGGACCTAACAAGCAAGTGGCATTCACTTTCACACAGATTTCTTACAGAAGTAAAAGCTTTATTTTTTTTGCCACTCATAGCTTGAAATCAGATGTTCTGCAACGTCTGTGAAAATGACAAACCAAACCAAGAGGCCGTCAAGAGACAGTCAGCCATTGCCTCAAACTGTCCTTTGCACAAACCATTCACACCCATTCTGAAGAAAAGAATCTTCAAGAAACTTATAAGCAATATTAGATTTCATGGCTGTAGAATTATGGTCAGCTCTAAGGTCTGACTATCCTATTGTAAACCTTCAACACAAGTGCATTTAGCTTTAGAACACTACAATTGCAGTGATCATAGAGAATATTTCAAATATAAATAAACTTTAAAAATGCAATCATCGTGGACCATAGGATATATGGCGCCTGATTTTTCTATCCAATTAAATTTTCAGAACCAATACAGTGGATGGAGCTGTATCATTACAAAAGGTACATTTTACTAGTAGGCTACGTTTAGACTGGCCCCTTCTCCGGAATAGTCATGCAAAGCAGGTAAGTCAGAATAGGGAAATCCGCAGGGGATTTAAATATCCCCCGCGGGATTTTAAAAAACATGGCCGCTGCTTTTTTTCCGGCTTGGGGAAAAGCCGGAAAAAAGCATCTAGACTGGCATGATCCTCGGGAATAAAGCCCTTTTCTGGAGGATCTCTTGGGGAAAAGCCGGAAAAGAGCATCCAGACTGGCGCGATCCTCTGGAATAAAGACCTATTCCGGAGGATCTCTTATTCCTACTTTCAAGGCTTTATTCTGGAGGATCGCGCCAGTCTGGACGCTCCTTTCCGGCTTTTCCCCAAGCCGGAAAAAAAGCGGCGGCCATGTTTATTTAAATCCCGCAGGAGATATTTAAATCCCCCACGGATTTCCCTATTCTGACTTGCCTGCTTTGCATGCCTCTTCCGGAGAAGGGGCCAGTCTAGACGTAGCCGTATGGTTTGCTCCCACAGAGAAGACAGTCATACCAGTATAAAGCACCTTTACATTGATAACTGCATCCACATGGGGGGAGGGGAGTAAACAGAGGGTGTACTTTTATAATTAGTTTTTGTGTTATAGGCCTATGTTTAGTGAGTTACACAACAGTTTGGAGTCTCTGAAAGGTCTAGCCATCCAGTATGCCAGTGCTCCTTTCTGTAGCATCCTAACTAATCAGTAGAAGTTAAACATTTTTAACATTTCTATACTTGCACTGATTGTATTAGACCCAGGCCATATGCTTTTATTTCTGAATGCAAACATCCCTTTGACAAGAAGCAACATGTATTAAAAGACCTTCACCTGTTCTGCTAGGCCAAAGCTAAAACTGGAGTGTATGTTGAGCTGGTGTATGCTATATATACACACTTGCATCATTACTTAGTCAGGTTTTCTTTAAAAACAAACAAAAAAACCCCCACCACACGCAATCAAAAATGAAGTAATATGAAACCATGAGGTATTTTAACTTCAATTTTAGATGTGAATACCTGCTATTTTGTGAGCAAAAACTAAAAGATTTGTTAGGTTTTATAATGTTGGAAGCAGCAATTATGATAACTCTACTGAACAAGTTATCCAGAAATCATCAAGTAATCACCTAAGGCCAGCTACTATTAGATGCCGAAAAAACTTCCAAATACCATTGAGGTCAATGAGCTTTGAGGGATAGGAGTTCCCAGGACTTGGGGGAAAGCATGTAGTATTTAGACAGTATTGAACCACTAGCAATGGCCAAGATACATGTATAACATATGCAAAAATCTTTACAGTAAGCTTACCTTAATATGGAAAATTAAAAGTGTATGTTAAGATGTCGCCATTATTAATAATTAAAATAGCTATTCAGCATGTTGTCTAATTTTAAATTCTCAGATTTTTTTACTCTGCTTTTTTAAAACAAAAATTCTTAAAAGGTGAACTGCAAAAGTGAGTTTTTTAAAATGAGTTTGTACCTTTGGCATATATAGACGACTTAAGAGAAATCAATTTGGAATAAGGCTTTTTTCTGTTTCTCTTGGGCCGAGCACACAGAGTGGGAAGGGAACAAGTTTGTAGTTCTCTTCATTTGAGTATTATTTTTTTTAAATTGTTGAAATATTAGTGTAGTTTGCCAGGAAAGCTTCTTGGGAGTTTAAGAGAAGTGAAATGTAGTGACCTCAGATGGAGGTGCATGTAGTTTAATTTTTAAGGTATAATTTCTTCCAAGTCTTTTGCTAGGTATTGGGAATTAAATAGATCCTATAAATCAGAGAAAAACAATATAACCAGTTGCAGCTGAAGTGACTGAAATTGATGAAATCATACCTGTATAGAGCCCTAATCCTGCACAACTGATGTCAGTGGGATCTTTTTCTATTGGATACAGTGCCTACATGATCAAAGAATTAGACACACGAAGTGTTTATCAGTCTGACTTTTAAAGTCCATACTTCCTCAATTTGTTCAGCTTTTGGTTTCTTAAGTCAACTTCATTAGTGCCTGAGTGTCTTCCTGGACAATCACAAGCCAGTTAAAAAAAACATTTGGAAATTTGGTGTGGGTTTTTTTTTGGGGGGGAGGGGAGGAAGGGGGGAGAATATAATGCCTTTCAGGCCTTCTTCATATTTAAAAAAAAAAAAATCAATGAGGCGAGGGAAAAAAATAGACAAGCCCATTTTTCCCCCTCTTTTGCAAGTTGCATTTAAAATAATAAAGAGTCAATCTTAATGCAGAATTTTCAAAGCTGTATCTTTTCAGTAAAATCAGTAAGGTCTTTAAGTTTATGAATAGAATAGCTGACCTTCAACACTTACGCTCAAATAAACCATGTTAATTCTTAAAGTTACAAAACAGGTTCCAATACTGCAAGCTGTTCTGCATAGAGCCCAAATGACTTCAGCAAGCATTTAGATAAGTGTAGAATACAGCATCTCATGGCACCAGTGCCTAAATATAATTATTCGACTGTTTGCAACATTACCAACAGATACAATAGAAACATTCCCTAGCTTCATGATTTTAGGTAACCATCCCCCATTATTAATATCCTGTTCTTTTGGTTAAACAAATATCACGATTAAAAAAAGCATACTTCTGCCATGATCGCATATTAAAGTTAGTTTTCCTTACAATACATTTAAAAAAAAAACCACAGTTTTGCTGTTTTGTTTTTTTTAAAAACCCAAAACATTTGTATTAAAAGTCTTAAAATGGGTAGACATTAAACGCATGTCTGGAATTAAAGTTACAGTTGTTAGAATGTTCTTGATACATCACAACATTAAGATTTCTCTCTTGGCTGGCTGGAGGTACATCCTACATCAGAGAACCAAAACAAAAGAAATTGTCCCAAAAAACTAAATGCCTGTAAATTTGAATTAAATGCAGTCCAAATTTGGAAGATGTGGAAATGACATTTAAAAGGCTCACATGGAAATAAGAAATAAATTCCACTAAACAATAGGCCTTTTTGTCCTGGCTTGTTCAGTATGATTACTCAAAGGAAGCTGTTAAGTAGTTTCTGGAGTAGTAGATAATGGGATTCTGTGGAGCTTTCACAGGTTGGCACCGGCTGGAACAGCTGAGTTTTGAAGGCACTCTACAGACACAGGGTTGCTGTTGGCCCTGTATCACATTTAGGAAGTCTTTGTACTTTAGAGAGCTAATCAAAATCAGTTATTGCCAACCCAAAAATAAGGAAAACAAACCACCACCACCACCACAAACCTCCCTCCCCCCTGAATAAAAGAAAACACAACTAAAAAAATATTGTGCAGATTTGTAACATTTTCACAGCTGATAAAAAAAAATACTACCGCTCTCCCCCAAAGTCCCATCAGATACAGCAGGTAAACAAAATATAAAGTTTCACAAATGATCAGCAGACACGTTCTGGCACCCCACACTGTATTGGCATCAGTGTTTTCAAGTCCCAGTTCAAATGTGCAATACTTCAGATTGGATACGCTGTAACAATAATCCAACTTTGCATAGAAATCCTCAGAATCAATATCATAGTCACAGGGTGCATTCAAGGTTGGCTAAAGAAGAGAGAGAACCAATCTTATTTCCTAAACGTCCTCGGAAAGATTTCTTCCCCCCTCTGCAATGGTTCTTCGTTTACTGTTCCCCTCAGTTCCTTAGGTGTAATTTAACTCTTCCAGTTAGAAAACAATTGCTAACAAAACTCCCCTTTCTCCAGGACGAAACTTTTCTTACTGGTGTCAGATGCCAATACAGCAATCTGTACTTACGGGAAATATGCAACAATCAAAATAGATGAAATGTACATGCTGAAAAAGCCACGTTTCCAACAATACACCCACCCCATGACACTGATCACTGCCGCAGCAGCAGCTGCTGCTGCTGCCGCCTGGAATCCTTGTGTATGCAAAGTTGTTTCCAATCTTTGTTTCGAACGATCACATTGCTGCTGCTTTTTGTTGTAAACCTTTGCGAACGACACGGCCCCCCCCAAGCCCTTTCAGAGGATCACGCAGGACGAGCAGCACTGATCGTCCCCGTTGGGCTGGGAAGCGTAGTTCATCTGCCTGACAATCTCTGCAAACAGTTCGTCCACTGAAGCTTTGTTTTTGGCTGAAGTTTCCATGAAGGGGCAGCTCCACTCCTCAGCCAGAGCTTTGCCTTCCCCATACGACACCTCCCTCTCGCCCTCCAAGTCCACCTTGTTGCCCACCAGGATCATGGGCACCTTTTCGTACCTCTTCACCCGGATGATCTGATCCCGCATAGGCTTGATGTCCTGGAAGCTCTGCTGGTTGACCAGGCTGTAGACCAGGATGAACCCTTGCCCGTTCTTGATATAGAGGTCCCGCATGGAGGCGAACTGCTCAGTGCCGGCGGTGTCCAGGATCTCCAGCACCGAGGGGGAGGAATCCACCTCGATCTCCTTGCGGTAGAAATCTTCGATGGTGGGGTCATACTTCTCGATGAAGGAGCCCGTCACGAACTGCACGGTGAGGGCGGATTTGCCCACCCCGCCCGAGCCCAGCACCACCACTTTGTATTCTCGCATGGCTCCGCTCCGCACACCCAGCTCCTTCCTCTCTGGGTCTCGTCTCTCCCTCCCACCTCCAGGCAGCGGGGAAGGAGGGAGGGGAGAGAAGCCCCCCCCCCGCGGCTC